GCGGGACGGATAAATGTCCTCGGCGGGCCGCATGTGGCCCGCGGGCCTAGTTGAGGACCCCTGCCCTAGACTATGGTTTTTACCCTCCAGGTCTGGAATTGAACTCACCGCCATGTACCATTTAAGATCAAAAGGGTAGGATTTACTCCAGGGCGAAGCTCAGAGGTAAGCACAGGGAAGAGGGAAAAGTGGCGCTGCATTGCGAGGGGATGGCAATGGATGAGCGGAGGAGGAAAGTGCATGAATTGTTAAATGTAAACTATGTTCTTCTTGGTAAACCTTTGCTCAATTCATAATAAAAAGTTTAAAAAAGAAAAATTATGTTTTCAGTTCTATAGAGTAATTATATATTCACCTAAAATACTTTCTACCTTGTTTAACTTGTTAACATCTAATTTAAAACTTACATGCAGAAGAAACCAAATCAAGTAGTGGCTAAATTTACAATACGCAATTTAGTTGTGCTGGAACGTGCTGGAGAAAAATGATGGCGATGTGTCAAAAGAACACAGATGCCAAGTTAATGACCTCCCAACAGTCAAATCTGCTGTTGTTAGTTGTTAGGTGCCATCAAGTTAGTTCTGACTCACAGAAACGCTATTTTCAACAGAAAACATAAAAACAAGCCCCACTCCAGTACCACCTTCAGAACTGTCTTATGCTTCAGCTCATTGTTGCGTGTCCATCCATCATCTTGGTGAGGGTCTTCCTCTTTTTGACTGCCCAGACATTCGACTAAGAATGATGTCCTTCTCTAGGGACTGGTCTCTACTGATAGCAGGTCCAAAGTACATGAGAGGAAGTCTCGCCATCCTTTCCTGTACTGACCATTCTGGCTGTACTTCCTTCAAAGCAGACCTGTTTGTTCTTCTGACAGCCCATGGTACTGTCAATATTCATTGCCACCATCATGTTCAAATGCACTGATTTTTACTTGGATTTCTAATTCAATGTCCAACTCTCACAAGTACATGAGACTTGGGTCAGGCGTCCTTAGTCCTCTAGAAGCAGCATCCCTGCTCTTCAAAACGTTGAAGAGATCTTCTGCAGCAATCAACCTAGTGCAATAATGGCCAAATCTAGAGCATCTTAATGATTAAAGTAAACACCAAGAAGAATGTACAAATCCCAACAGAGACATAGCAAATCACATTCTTAAATACCAGAGATCGAAAATCCTGAGAGCGTCCAGGGAGAAGCAAATTGTCCCATACACGAATCCTCAATAAGACAAGAGCCAATCTCTTCCGCAGAGAGCAAAAAGTAGTAAAATAACACATTGAAAATGTTAAAAAACACACAAACAAAACAAACCTGTCAACTAAGAATTTCTTATCCAACAAAACCATAAGAATGAAAGTGAAATTAACATATTTCCAGATAAATAAATGCTGTGGGAGTTTGTGATGAACTATCCCTACCCTACCAACCACCACCAACAAACAAACCATCAAGTCGACGCTGACTCATGGTGACTCTAGGGCAGGGTAGAAAGAAGTGCCCGGATGAGTTACTGAGACTCAATCCTTATGGGAATGGAAGTGTTGTCTTTCACACAGGGGCTGGTGGTTTCAAACTACTGACCTCCCCATCACCACGACACCAACAGGCTCTTTCCCATACACTGCAGGAGATGCTAAAGAAAGGTCTTAAGGCGGAAATGAAAGGACAATAGACAACAGTTTAAAGAAATATGCAGAAAAGAAAGATCTCTGTAAAGAAAATTGCATAGGCAAGTATAAGGGGTAATTTTATAGCAAACAACACAGTTTTGCTGTCATTTACCATAAATTGTATTTTATAATATTTCAAATATGCAGTTGGTATTCCACAGGAAAAAAGACAAATACTGAGATATGCTATTATGCAGATAATAGAGATATAATGTTTGATGTAAAACTACACAAAGGGAAAGGAGCAGTACACGTATAACATTTTGCATGCTGTAAAGATAAAATGGTATCAATTTAAGCTGATTACTAAAATTTAAGTTGTTAAGTGTAAACATCATAGTAACTAAAAATTTCAGTATCATAATTAATCACAAATAAAGTTAAAATTTACACAAATTTTTTATTTGCTTGATGAGAAAACTAGAAGAAATGAAAGATACCGGTGTAGCGGCTAAAATTCCATTTTGCAGTGCTTTCTCACCCAGTAACATCTGGTTTGAAAAAATGTCCAATGGTGATACTTTAGGAAACTTGTTTAGTGCTAAAATGTAAGATTTCCAATATAACTGGAGAATCAAATATGTACAATGAAGAAAGAAACATGCAAATCCGTTTCACATGCATAACTTTGTGAATGGCAGTAATGGGTGACAAAAAGTCAACAATCATTTGAAATTTACAGGTTTCAGTTAGACATGTTTTGAACATGACAATGGCAATATATGTATAAATGTGCTTGACATAATGGATGTATGCATTGTCATAAGAGCTGTAAGAGCCCTCAACAAAATGACTAAAAATAAATAAATCAAATAAATAAATCAGAATTCCTTCTTGGAGGCAGGAGAGATATGTAAATAAATAAATAAATGCAACGGTAGGGGGGGAAATTCTAACTTTCAGTAAAATGGATATTTCCTTATTACCAATCTTATTAAAAATTGATTTATCCTACTTTATCAATATTTTCTCACTAATAATAGCATTGATCTCCAATGTGATACAAACAACTGGTTAAATTAGATTACACCCCCCCGACCACCACACCCATAAAAGGATCTTCTAAAAAAAGATACAACTTACTTTGGCTTCAGTTTCTCCCCTGTGAAGAGTATACAGATGATGGACTGCGCTTTGTGATGAGGACCAAGGGTGAGTCAGAATTTGGAAGACATGAAAGTCATGGCCAAGTGTATCTGTTGTAACTAAAAGCATTCCTGGAAGAAATACAACAAATGGCAAAATAAAAATAGATGTGGACATCAGGCTTTCATATACTACAACAAGTAAAATGGTGTCAAAGATGCAAGCAGTTTTTTAAATTAATGCCTTATAATTAAACAAAATGTTTTTTTTCCATATGTCAATCTAACAAGCTAATAAGCACAGTGAGAAGACCGTATGTATATGTAGATACATGGGTTGTTTTTGAGAGTTAGGTTATTATTAAAAGGAGAATTATGGAATTAGCAATAACAGACAAAATGAAACAACTGAAGCAAATCGGTAGGACAATAATAATTGCTAACATGAATGGGTTCACATACAAGAAACATTCTTAGCGCTCCATCGATTATATAGCAATACTCTTTTTGCTGTATCACTCAGACAAATAAATAAACTGGGGCACAAAGAGGCTAAGAAACGCATCCCTGACACACAGCTATGAATAAATGAAACCAGACAAAACTAACATATTAATACGGTTTGTATGGAAAAGCTCTATATTATTATCCCTAATAATATATAGCTAAGCTTTACTAGGAAAACAGGTTTATTTTAAGATCAAACCACAATTATTGATAGTAAATGGGATGCATTAGCTTCTATAAAATCTGGCTCTAGGTAGTAGTAGATAAGAAGACTGCTACAAACAAACTGGGGCATCATTTCCATTTAGTGTAAATTGACATTATCTTAGTTATCAAAGTAATGTCATAAATCATCACACTTCCAGTACTACAAGTTGGTTAAATAATTTTATAAGGAAAATCAGATCATATAAGTAGCTGATATCTCAACCCATAGAAGTGCATACAATTTTAAATGTATCAGAAGTTTGAAGTTTATTTGTTAATATCATTAGAACTAGAACTTAGCAAGCTTATGAGTGAGAAATGTAAACAAGAAAAACAGCTTTGGTATTTAATCAGAACCCCAGCAAACATTCATCTAGTGCCTCTCAAAGCCCGAAACTGGCTTGCAAAGATAATGACTAAGAGAGAAGCTCACAGTCCTGTGAGGTACAATAATAAAGACACGTACGAATAAAGGGCACAGCAAAGAACACACAGTCAGAGGAGTTGACAAAGGTGTGATAGAGGTGATGTGATGCAAACTTCAAATGCAGAGGAGAAAAAGCATTCTGGAAAACGGGAGGAAGAAGCACAAGAACAACTGTTAGGGAGTGGTCAGCTGGGTCAAACCGTGAAGGAAATTGGAAGGCCTGCTTAAAAATAATGGTTTTAGTCTTCAGTTCTAAAACCATGTCACACCTAGGCAGGCTTTTGAAAGTGTTTACTCTAAGCTCCGGTAATAAAGATAATAATTCAGCAAGCTTGACTAGGAAGCCTCAATCAGCTCTCGTAAAGGGTGGCTCAGAGGGTTGTAGGTGGTCAGAAATAGAAAGCCCACAACTGTTTTTCTGCATGACCTGAAAGGGCTAGAAAGATAACTGGGGGGGGATGGAAATTACACTGAAGATGCAGAGCCAGAAAACTGCTTTCCAGAAGTAAACTGCTAGGCATAAACCAATAAAAATCTCACGTGAGAAATCGAGGAAGGAAGAAAAAACGGTCTAGTCTGTGTACCAGAAAGGGAAAGTAGCCACAACACTTTGTCAAACATAGTGCTGTAAAGATGCTACCTGCAATCCTCCGTGAACGCTGACTCTTCCCCTGACCCAAACCCCAGCTCATATTCTCACCATAAAATCCATCTGTGTTCTTTATTCCTATTTACATGCTATCATTTTACATTGTTAACAACAGAACAATGAACACAACAATTGCCCTCCTTGGAACATTATCATACATTCTTATTTAACAAATATAGAATACAGCATATGGTAATACTGGGTGTGTGGGTGTGCATGACATAAAAATAGCTGGATTTACCTAAGTGAATTGTCTGCTTTTCTAACAATTACAATATAATTTTAAACTGCTCCCCTCAAACTAGAGTACAGATGATGCTAAGCAAAGGTGGGCAACAAGGAAAAAGGCTAGGCTGATAATTCAGGCATTTGAAAGAAAGGGAGCTCCATTAAGACGCAGGAAGAAAACAGGTGGGCACAAATGTAAAATAAAAATGTTTGCAGGTGGCGTTTCTTAGTCTGAACCAGCAGGGACACATCAACATGGAAGCCTTCATTACATGGTTGTCTCTGTGCTAGGAGGACAGTCTCAAGCAAGTTTTAAAAGCAAATCTGATGATACCGAGTAAGAAAATAATGTACTCCTTCATGGAAATGAAGTCAGGAGCAGCCTTCTAAGATGTAACTATTGGTCTTTCCCTGTCCGGAGGAAAGAAGAATAATGAAAATTAAAAATATGAACAAAAATTTAAATATGGAAACATTTAGACCTGTTGATTGATGGACCTGCAAACATCAGTCACTACAACCCTGAAAACTGGAGAACTAGATGGTGCCTAGCTACCACTACCCATGGTCTGAAAACGATCACATGAACAGGTCCCCGAGGGAGTGAGGGAAAGGAGTGGAACAGAACTCAAAGCACAGAAGAGACCATAAAAAATGGACTCGTGTTTTAAGCAAAAGAAATTTGATTTTCTAGAAGAGAGCATTTAGAATTTGTACTATTAGGTTCTTAAGTGTAAGTACTTGCCAGTAAATCTATTGGCTTTGTAGGGGGAAGAGAGGGGCCAGCGGGGTGTGTGTGTGTGTATACCTTTTCAAAACAGATAATGAAACCAATCCAGTGGTCTCTTTCTTTTTAGATTAATTGTGATAGCTTCTGTTATTTAAAAAATTTGTCCATCTTGTTTAAAATTTAAAATTTATAGGCAAAAGTCATTTATATCTGTATAGGGTATCTTTAGTGATGTACACTTTTTCATTCAGAATATTAGCAGTTCAGGTTTACAAAAACGTTTTACAGAAAGTTAAGAGCTCCAATATGTGTTCCCCCACCCCAGTCCTCTGTATTCGTTACAGCAGACAAATCAATATTGACATGTTATTACCAGCTAAAGTTCATCATTTACTTTAGGATTTTGCTTGGTATTAGAAACTTCTGAGTTTTGAAAAATGCTTAATATTATGTGTCTGCCATTGTCTCTCACACAGACAATGGTTTGTTTCTCTCTTTATTGGTTTGAAACATCACTCTAAGATTGCCTTAGATACACTGCAAAAAATTTTCATGTGCCACCTACATTTAAATTTACATTCAGTTTAAAATAGTGTGGTATTTCATTTTCAAATATTTATGGATTTTACATCTATCAAGTACTGATTTATAGTTTAATTCCATTATGAAAATAAAGATTTTCACAAGGTTATATCTTTCACACACACACGTGCATTGTTAAAAGAAGTATAAAATATATTAATCAAATTATGTAAAAAATAAGATAAGCAGTAAGGAAAAGACAAAACATTTAATTTTGCTTTTTTGCCTGGCTAATTTAAGTGACTACAGCACTAGACATTATTTCAAAGTTAAAAAAAAAAAATCACACTTGATCCATGTATCCTGACTCCTTCAAAAAGACTGTAGTTCAGATAGTGAAAAGTGCCACTCTTGAGATCTACGTTTTAGCATTAAAACAGTTTCTGTAAGCTACCTCCCATGTTGCACCTGGTGATGGCATCAGTTGAGGCCCTGGCGGCACCGTGGTTACGCATTGGGGTACGAGCTGCAAGGCCAGCAGTTTAGAACCTCCCGGCCCTCCTCAGGAGAAAGACTGGGCTTTCTACATCTGCCAACGGTCTCAAACACTCACAGGGCGCTTGGACCTTGTCTAGAGAGTCGCTGTGAGCGGCACCAACTTGAGGGCAGTGAGTTTGGAGGGGGTTTGGGGGGTGGCGTCAGCACATTGGTACACTGTGTTCTTTCCCTCTAACTGTTGCTTTCAAATAAATCTGTAAGATTAACATGTATGCTCCATTTGCCTTTTATGGGCAGTTTTTTTCCCACTACTCTATACTTTTGACTGGGTTATCATAAAGTTTGAATGATCACAGCTCCACTTATATGTTGTGATTCCACTGTGTAACCATTAAACTAATGTCACAATTGGAAGAGCAGAGAGAAAGGAAAACTGTGGGATCATGGAGTCATGTGCTTTCTCTTACTTTACAATTTCCTCTTTTGCACACATTCTGTTGGGGAAAATAACCAGCTTTTTTTTTTTTCCTTCTTCTTCAAGAAAACAAGTTAAAAAGCACATATACATAAAAGGAAAAACTCGTACAGAGTAGACTGTGGCTTGAGAACTATTTATGCAGCATCAGAAGACTAAACCAGACTCTGGCCAGGCCATAAACTAAACCCACGCCCCAAAAGAGGTGCCAAGCCACAAAAAGCATTTGCGTCATCTGGGAATACAAGGAAAAGCAGGACTTCTAATTATAGGGCCTGGAAGCGGAAGCCTAGAGCGATTAGCTGTTTAGGCGCTGCTGTATGTTTATCTGGAAGCTTCCTCTCTCTCACTCTCAGCCTCAAGTTTGATAGATGAGCTTTAGCCTGAAGGGTGGAGACTGAGGCTCCTCACGGTACACAGCGTTCTTCAAAATCTGAGGGAGCTAGAGACTGACATTAAGGCTTTTGTGGCCTCAGGAGAACGGTAAGAAGTCTTTTCAACTGGGCGTCAGCGCCGGCGCCTAAAAGGCAAAATTAAAGAGTAGCAAATCTCCACTGTGCATATGCTGTAAAATCGTGGAAACATGAGTGGGTCTGTCTTTTTCACCATATCCTATTTATAACACCTACCTAATTGTATGGTTCTTTAACATGTGCACACATGGGAATTGCAAGACAAATCACCAGCTATTCACACTCTTCCAAAGAGAGCATAAAACACTGCTTCCCAACTCATAGCCACCCACGAGGACACCACAGAACTGCCAGAACTGGCCCTTTGGGTGTCTGCCATTGTGAAACTTGATGGGAACGGACAGCCCCTCATCTTTCTCTGGATGAGGGGCTGTTCAGTTTTACCTGCTGAGCTTGTGCTTTGCAACCCAAAACAA